CGAAGGGGACGGGGGTGCCGCCGCCGGCGGCGGCGCGTCCGTCAAGGACCTCCGCCTCCGCCGCGTCGTCCCTCCCGCGTCCGCGACCCTCGACGTCTCCCCCGAATGCGCCGCGGCCGCCGCCAAGCCCGGATCCGTCCAGATCCAGAGCACCCCGCCGGAGCCCGTGGCGGCCGCCGAAGACCGCGAGAGGAAGCCGGTCAGTCCCCCCCTCCCCCGCTAGTTTCTTGATCTGTCTCGTACCTTGCGCGTCTCTCGACCTCTCTGCTGCTCCCCATCTCACCCCGCTTCGTTGGTGAATGGATCAGATGCTGCCGCGGTCCAAGCTCGTGCGCGACCCGGGCTCCTTCGGCTACCGGCGGCTGCTCCCTTTCCTCAACCAGATGGCCAACAAAGGTAGCACCACCCACCCTCTACTTGGTTTCCCTCCCCCGTGTTCGTGTGCTTGGGCTCGCATTTCATTCCCCATTTCCTCGGATGTGTTTTACAGGTTCAGACATCTCAAGCAGCAAGGACATGCCCTCCGAAAACAAGGTTCCCATCCCAAGCAAGGAGCTCAGCAGATCTGACTCCGGGTTGGCTGATGGGATACCTCCCGTGGGTGGGAGTCAAGGCGGAGCTGCTCCTCTGGATTCCGTGGAGCCGCCGCCTGTTGTGAAGGCTGTAGCAGACACGGAGATCTGTGACAGTGTCAAAGAAGAAACCAAGTCTGCCCCTGTCGATCTCGCAAGCAGCAAGCCCGTGAGTGTTCTTGATACTACTACGTCTCTTGTTTACGTCAGTAAATTAAGCAGGGTTGACTAGATTTCCTGCGTAGCAGTGAGATAATCTGTGCTTCTGCTCGTTTCAGTCTCTTGCCTGCTGCACGAGGTCAAAGTTTGTTCATCACCCGAGCTCATTCAGCTACAAGAGGATGTTGCCATTTCTCATGGAGAACGGTGAGTCGACTGCTGCGTGCAGCTGATTGTGATCCTACTTGCCGCAGTTCTCTTCAAGTTCGGCTTTCTGATAGTTTCCTATTGTCTTTCTGTACCAGACATCTCCTCTCAGGAAGGAGACAGGGCCAAGTTTAGAAGATTATCAGAAGAGCAGCAAATGACATCTGATGAGACTGATGTCCAGGCCAGTGGACAGATTCAATCTGCCACTGCAGAAGTTTTGCTGGATGGCAGTGCAGCTGAAGTGCAGAAAGGCACACAAGGAGAAGAGCCAGCTTCAGTTGGAGACCCATTGTCTTCAGAGAGTGGTGAATTAGCATCAGGCGTGAATGCTGTTCCGTCCGGTCGACAGAACCAGCTTCCTGTTTCAGAAGACACTCATGGTGAAGGAAATGCAGCTGAAGTTGAAAGCACTGTGGAAGAGAAGGCATCAAAATCAGATGAGAAGCCTGTTCCTATGGATTCTGTAGACCTGCCTGTTGGGAAGGCTGAAGGAACTCAGGAGGCGAAGGATTGCTGTGACAGTGTGAAAGAGGAAACCAAGATTGTACCTGCTGATCTTGCAAGCAGCAAGCCGGTGAGCTCTTGAGACCATGTCTCTTATTTGCACGTGTAAATTAAACAATGTTAACTGCATTTCCTGTATAGTTGTGACAATTGACATCATGTATTCTTCTGCCTGTTTCAGTCCCTTCCCCGCTGCATGAGGTCAAAGTTTGTTCCCCATCGAAGCTCATTTAGCTACAAGAGGATGCTGCCATTTCTCATGGAGAATGGTGAGTCCATCGCTGTGATTTGCTGTTCATGATCTGTGACACTTATTTTAGAGTTGCCTGTTCTTATAGTGTGCTGTTGTCTTTCTGTACCAGAAACCTCTTCTCAGAAAGAAGACATGGCCAAACTTCAAACAGTCTCGGAAGAGAAGCAATTAGCATTGCCTGAAAATGATGTGTTGGCTAGTGGAAATCATCTTTCTGTCTCAGAAGGCTCCCCTGAAGCATGCTACCAAGCTGAACTTGACAGAATTGTAGAAGAAATATCATCAACAGATGAGAACTATCTTTTGAAGGGTGTACAGCTTCAGTCTGTTCCAGTTGCAGAAGTCTCTCTGGATGTCAGTACAGCTGAAGTGCAGAAAGTCACACAAGAAGTGTTGGCTTCAGATGGAGACCTATTATCCCTGGACAAGCGTGAGCTAACATCAGAGAGGAATGATGTCCTGGCTGGTGGACAGTGTCAGCTTGCTGTCTCAGATGGCTCTGCTAAGGAAAGTGATGTAGCTGAAGCTGAGAGGATAGTTGAAGAAAAGGCAACAAAATCAGATGAGAATTCTGTACTTAATGACAGAGATGAGTCAAGTGGATTAGCATCAGACAAGGGTGAGTTTCTGATGAAAGATCAGCCTCAGGCATGTGACTCAAAGAAGTTACAATGCAATGCTGATCTTGCTCTAGCACAACAATGCCAGAGCCCAGAGTCAGGATGTTCTATCAAGACAGTAATGGTGGATGGTGGAGCTGATCCACACGGTTCACCAGAGAGACATGATTCTGTGGCTTCTCTTGGTGGCCTACTGCTTGATGTGGGAATGATCTGCAAGCCTTCTGAACCTTCTATTGGCTCACCCTTATCAGCAGAGGGAATGTCTGGTTGTGTTGCACATGCTGAATCAGGGCTGAGTAAAGTGGGCACACCGTCTCCATTGGGTTCTCCTTGTTTGGAACAACAACGCCTTTCTCCGAAGATACCCTCCCCTAGCAGTGGCGCTTTCAGCGGCGCCTCTTTTCTGAAGAAGCGGGGCTTTTCTCCGAAGAAACTTTCTCCAAAGAAGGGAATACTTAAGAGGCATACAATGGGGTGCAGGGGCATCTGCATGTGCTTGGACTGCAGTGTGTTTCGTCTACGTGCTGATAGAGCTTTTGAGTTCTCTAGGAAGCAGATGCAAGAGGCAGATGATATAATAGTGAACTTACTGGAGGAGGTGGCAAGTCTTAGGAGTATGGCGGAGAAATCTTCTGGCAAAGTAAGTGTATTCACCGGCACTTCACTTTCAGTTTCTCGTCCTTGTGATGAAGTTCTACACTTGCATTTTTCTCCAAAGGAGAGAAACGCTGAATAGTATATTTTGCTTTGCTACTTGTTTTAAATGAATCATCATCTGCCTAAATGAAGATTCATTGCCAGGACCAAGACTTAATTCAGGTTGTCACCCACATGCATTTTTTAAACTTGGCTGCAATTTTCAAATCATGGTTATATCTGTCATGAGCCCTCTGCATGGCACTCCTTGTGTATTCTATTTATGTGTGCAACTCTTGTGAGCACATACTAGTAAAACATATTAGGAAACTGGCTTTTAACACTAAATTAAAACCTGGGAGTGCAATGCCTGTAACCTGACCTGTCCTTTCTCAGCTTACAATTTATTTTGGCTGTTTACTCATCATGGATGGGAATCCTGTCTGAAGATTTAGCTGCCTGTAGCATTACTGTAACTTGCAATATATTTGAATTTTCTGTTTTAAAAGATGTCAGTACTGAAGAAACACTTCTGTTAAATCTGCAGCAGGAGCAGATGGAAGCTTGCCAGAGGGCGTTGCGGGTAGAGGAGGTGGCCAAGGAGCGTCGGCAGCAGATGCTGGCCGAGCTCAACTCTCACTGCAAAATTCCTGTGAGTGGCCTCCCTACCTTGTGCAACGGTTTGCCATGAGAACTCGCCGGAGTCGGTTTAACTAAACAATCGTGTCTTTGAATGGATTCAGGGCCCAAGGGTGAAATTCGCTCAGTACGTCGAGGGAAAGATGGCCTCTTCTCCTTCCAGCAGCAGCAGGAGGCAATAACCACATTTGCGAAGACGCCGGTGATTGATTCGCTGCTGGATGTGCTGGATTTTGTGGGAATTCAGCGCAGTTCAGTGCAATTGTTGTCTCATGATTAGGTTATGTAGAGAGAGGTGGAAGCTCTGTTGGTTCCACTGAAGGAAGAAGGAACAAAAGCTGGTTGTGACGTGTCTGTTCGCATGTAAATCAAAGTTTTTTTTTTAAATCAAAGCTGTGAAACTGGAACATGCCAATCTGGTCTGTCTTTGAACTTTTTTCCTTCTGAGATATTTTTTCTTGGGTCGATGAAACTCACTCATCAATTTTAGCCCTCTTTGACTGGTGCTACTGAATTGCACCTAGATATTTTTTGGGGTATGGCTCAAATCAACCATTCAATAAATCACAGGTTGATGAACTGACAGACAATCCTGAGCATATAGATTATAAATAGAGTAAAAAATACAAACATGGAACACACACGATGGATCTCTTGCTCACACTAGCACTACTAGCTAGCTGGTGGTGTGTGGAGTGCGGGAGGTTTAGCCGGCGTAGACGTGGACGCCGACGGCGACCATGAAGATGGCGCAGAAGGCGAAGAAGATGACGGTGTGGACGAACATGGCGATGCCGTTGGTCTGCATGCTGTGGAACTCGGGCCGGCCGCGGCCCCCGCCGCCGGGGATCTCGCAGATCAGCCCCGGCAGCATCACCACGAAGAAGGCCGTCGCGATCAGCACCGGGCCCCAGTCGCCCGACATGTTCGTCCGATCAACGGTGAGCTCGAGCGCCCCTCTGTCAATCAACAGCTCTGTGTATCTATGCCAGTGCTGCTCTCCTAGTTAAGTTTCCATCTATAAATAGGATGTTGGCCGGACGATGACGACGACGGTGATGACAGTGTGGCGTCTGGGGTGACCAGATCGGGCGAGCTGCCGTGCCGTCCAGGGCGTGGCGGCCGGCCGGCGAGAAATTGTCACTAGCAGGCGAGTTCAAGTGTTGGGTGGACCTAGGCAACAAAACAAAACCCATCCATCACATCACGGCTTCTGAGACCCCAAAGGCCACATCCTGTGAGACCTAGACAACTTATTTGCAGTCCGGAAGAAGATCACTTGTGTCTCTCATCATCCTGCCTTAGCCTCGTGTACTACACCACCAGCTGAACATGTCATCTTTTTACTGCTACTAACCAACCACTACTGTATATTTGACTGGTGTATGTGTGTGTTCGTGTGCAGATAATGTGTCACTGTCAGAAGCTTAAAGACGCAGCCTGCATGCTCACTTGTCAGCACGGCTAACAACAAGCACACCAGCCAGCTACAGTAGCCAAGACAGACACCGTCCACCATATCATCACTCTCACTCTCTCAAGAGTAGGCTCAGCTCTTCACTGAAGCAGCTCTGCATCGTTCTCTGAATAACTCTCTGAATCACTTGCAGCCTGAATGCAAGGATACACTGAAGCAGCAGCAGCTCTGCATCATTCTCTGAATCGCTTCCAGACCAATTTACACACACACACCAGTTCCAAAGCTGGAGCAGCGACGTTTTTATTCCTGTTCCTTTTAGGTCACACTCACATAAGCTGGATTTTGTTCCTTTCCTGCACCAGTCACTACCCAGAAAGAAGGCTTTCGCCCCGCTTTGTAGATAAAAGCCAACACAGCACCGCGCGCGCTACCGCGACTCGACACCAAACCCTCTGTTAACTACGCACATTTTACCCGACACATACTGTAACTACTGACCTTGTTTCCTCGGCGCCGCTGCGCCGAAACAGTTTCAGGGAGAAAAGAAATGCAAACAATCTGAACAAGGATGGAGGTTGCAAAATTAAATTTATCTTCAGAGGTGACTGAATCTTAGCTAGAAGCTAGGAACAAATTTCTTTCTTAATCACTCTGAAAACCAGGCTCAGTTCTTCACTGAATGCTCTGTGCGTTTCTTTTAGGACGAGGAATCATTCACTCACCCTCAGCTGGGGACTTTGATGGATGCTCTCCAATTTGTTCCTTTCCCGCACCACTCACATCCTACCGCGACTCCACACCAAACACTCCTTGTATCTGACAGACACTGTAACTACTACTGCTAACCTGCTTCGTCCTCTCTTGAAGCAGCTTCAGGCACAAGGGAAATGCAAACAATCTGAATGACAAAAAGTGTCACAGAAACAGAGCTTTATTTATCTTGAGGTAAGTGAATCTAGCTACAAGCAAAGAACCAGTTTCATCCCCAGTCACCACGGCGACATTGCCGATCGACACGGTGAGCGAGCGAGAGACACTATTATGCATGAACCCACATAAACAAGACCCTAAACTTTCAGAGAACCCAGCCCAGCTACATGTTCAGCTGATGGATGGATGTTGAAAACACGAAACACCGAGTTCGGTTCAGGGGCCGAGGTCGATGTGCACCCCGACGGCGATGAGGAAGATGGCGGCGAAGCTGAAGAAGATGACGGAGTGGACGATGATGGAGACGGCGCTGGTGTGGAAGTTGCCGAACTCGATGATCCGGCACTTGCCGGGGATCTGGAACAGCAGCCCCGGCGACAGCAGGATGAAGAGCACCAGAGGGATGAACACTCCAGCCCAGTCCTGCATCTTCTCCCCCCCTCACTCTCTCTCTCTACCTTCTACTCTTCTTGACTCCTAAGGTAGAACAGGGTATGCTCTGACACACTGCAGAGGAGGAGCCTGTCTATATAGCAGCAGCTAAGCTAGCCAGTCTATCTCTCTGTGCAGTGCTATATAATGGCCATACAATGGATACCGGTAGATGGAGGAGGAGGAGGAGGAGGAGGTTGGAGCAGAGCTTTCATTCATGCTGCACATGCCATCATTCCAGGAAGAAGAAACACGGCCTCTCTACTTTAACCACAACAGGCAAAGGGCAGCCGAGCCTTTTATGAGCACCAAAAATGGACCGCTTTTCACTTGGGCGGTTGGAGGCAGTTAGAAAGGCTGGAAATTTTCTGTTCATAAACAATCTATATGGTGTAGAATAAATTAAATGGATACTTCCTCCGTTCCTAAATATGCCTTTTTAGAGATTTCAATATGAACTACATACGGATGTATATAGACATATTTAAGAGTGTAGATTCACTCATTTTGCTCCGTATGTAGTCTATATTGGAATCTCTAAAAAAACTTATATTTAGGAACGGAGGGAGTACATATTTGGGCAGATGTAGCAACAAGTATGGCATGCTGTTCATGCTTTTTCATGCTATTCATGTTTTTCTGTCTCACAAAACATGCTATTCATGCTTCTCTGTTCCTAGCCAATCTGGTGTAGAATAAATTAAGGATCAATAATTGGTGTTGGAGTATTTAACAGATGTAGTAGCACTGATTCTTGTTTCTGTCTCACAACATACCATGCATTACCGAAAAAGGGTTTCCCCCCGCTTTGTATTCCAAAGCAACCAACATCGAGTACAGATAACGCTGTGGCGAGCAGCACAACACACCAAGAAAAAAGAAGAAGAAACAAATGCCAACCACGGCAGCTTGGCAAAGCGCGGATGACCCGGCACCGCGGCGCCCACCGGACACAAATCACCACAGACCAAGGCTCCGATCCGCCGCGTACCAAGCAGCACCTCCAAGAAGGGATGCGACGCCGACGCGCTGCTGCCCGGACGAGACCTCAGGTTTCCCCGGGCACGCGGAGGGAGGTGGGGGGTGGATACCACCGACACCCTCCAGGAAGGAATGGTGGCACCTACAGGTGTCACCGCGTCGGGGCCGAAGCCGGCAGGGATTTCTCCCGCATTCCAACCCCAACCGCCCAACCGGACGGAACCGACCTGCCAAACCGTCGCCCACCACCATGCGCCAACGCAGTACCGCCGCCACCCACGCCGCCTCACTACGAACACCACCACGAGGCCAAGAGGACCGGAGAGAAGCTCACCACGATGGGAGCAGCAACACCGACATCGAGCGGGAGGGAACCACCTCCACCGCCGTCGTGCGGGAGGCCCGTGCCTCCGGCACCGTCGCGGTAGCCGTCCGGACGCGGCAGCGGGGCATGCCGGGCCACCCCTGGCCCAGCCAGGCCCGAAGCGGGCCCGTTAAGCCCCGCCGGCCACGATGCAGCAGGCCAGCGTCGTCGTCGCCGGCACCCAGTCGCTCGTCGCATCTCCTCCGCCTCCCAGAAGCCATGCCGGAGACCATCCCCGCCGCCGGCCCGCCCAGGCCCAGATGGGGCCTGAAGGGCCTCGATCTGGGCCAAGCGGGCGACGCCAGATCTCGCCGCCGCGCTGCCCCGCCGCCAATGGCAGCGCCGCCGCCCAGCTGCTCGCCTGCATGCGCCACGGAACCCCCCGCCACGCCAGACCGCCGCCGCCTAAACGCACCCCCCGGAGCAGCTCCGCCCGCGCCGGAGAGCGACCGGGAGGGGAAGGGCCAGGAGGCCGCCGCCACCAGCAGCCCCGGGCCAAGCCGGCCGCGGGCGACGGCGACGGCGGCGGGAGGGAGCAGGCCTGGCGCGCGGCCGGT